AAATGAAACATAAACCAAGTTAAGAAAAGGTTGGGCAAATTTTGGGGTGCAACACTTATGAGCTAAGGCTCTTCACGATACCAAAGTAGCGTTTCAGCCAAACACAAGATTCTTTGGGTGGTTAAAGTAGTACCTTATTCACTAAGGTTCTTCGATGATACCAAAGTAGTATCTCTGAACATGAGATTCTTCGGGTGGTTAGAGCAGTACCTTATCCACTAAGGTTCTCTGATGATACCAAATCAGTATCTCGACAAAACTTGAGATTCTTCGGGTGGCCAGAGCAATACCTTATCCACTAAGGTTCTCTGATGATACCAAAGAAGTATCCCTGAACATGAGATTCTTCGGGTGGTCAGAGCAGTACCTCATCTACTAAGATTCTCCGATGATACCAAAGGAGTATCTCAAACAAATATGAGATTCTCCGGGTTGTCAAAGCAGTAACTTGTCCATTAAGGTTCTTCGATGATACCAAAGCAGTATCTCTGAACATGAGATTCTTCGGGTTGTCAAAGCAGTACTTTATCCACTAAGGTTCTTTGATGATACCAAAGTAGTATATTGATAAAATATGTGCTGAGCAAGATTCTTGTCGGAGGAAATGTACTATCCTAGTTCTGCAGGGAAAAGATTTCAAGAAACTTTTTAAGACAACCTCTGCTTGGGGAGTAACAAGAGAAACAGTTGTTGGGGATCATCATCATCAACTGCATGGTTGAAGAAATACTTGCTAAGGAATATAATATCTTGAACACGTGCGGGGTATCAACTCTTTTCAGAGAAATACTTTTGACTTCGAAGGAGGACTGGCCAAGAGGCTTGCAAACTGAACCTAGATCCTGTCATGCTATTCCGCTGGGGTTAGAGATGCCATGTGTTGCATGATGCATGGACATGCAACTAAGATGCAACTGCTAGGGAATCTAATGCACATATGAATGCACCATATATGCTAATGCTTGATATGATTATGTATGAAAATGCAAATGACCGGGTACGCTGGAGATACGTTTCCCGATGAAGGTATCACCAAGGACGGGATTTGATAATCGCCAAATGAAATTAGACTTTGGTTATTTGGTGTTTGCCAATAAATTGGATTTTTAGGTCGAATGAGGATGCCAACAAGGTGAACTTTTGGGTTGCACTTCCAGATGAGAACTGAATTGGAAGATAGATTATCAGGCGAGAACTGGTGAGAAAAAGTACTTGCCAGATGAGACTGGACTTTAAAGGATTTTCCAGATAGAAACTGGACTTTGAAATGATTTTCCATACGGGAGCTGGACTTTGAAAGATTTTCTAGACGAGAACTGGACCTTAAAATGGTTTGCCAGACGAGAACTAGACGTTGAAAGCATTTTCCAGACGGGAACTGGCCCTTACAATGATTTTCCAGACGGGAACTGGACTTTAAAGGATTTTCCAGACGGGAACTAGACTTCCAAAAGGTTTGCCAGACGAGAACAAGACTTTGGTGATTACGAAGATGCCAACAAGGTGAATTTTTGGTGTCAAATCTTGTGTTACAAGGCTTTGATGCGGGGTTCATGTTGGAAGGTTAGGCTCGAGGAATGATATGATACACATGCATATGCAATGAGCGGAGCGATATGACCAATGCATATGGATGACTTATGCAATGATATGACGCTTTAGAAAGATGCCCCAACTAAGGGTGACAGATGGACAAGTTCCTTTGCAGCAAGGTTCTTGTCGAAGGAAGGCAAAAGGTTATCTATCTAGTGGGGTAAAAGCGTGATTCCCCGACACTCGTCTTGAACTTGACAGTTACTTGACGGAGTTTGCTTGAGTAGCCTGAAAGCATGAAGGAAACTTACCCCTATGTCACTCAATCTTTGCCCGAGTCTAGGTCTTTGAAGAAAATTTCCTCTAAAGGAAGTTGGAAGCAATTGTACCATGAGATAAACTCAAGATAGTTTGCCCCAGATTTTTGAGTTACAATAAGATTTGTCCTTGAAAAGAAATTTGAGGGTAATCATACCATGAGATGAACTCGAGATAGTTTTCTCCAGAACTTCAAGTCATGAAAGGAAATTGGAAATATTTGTACCATTAGATGAACTCGAGATGGCTTGTTCCAAAATTCCAAGCCAGGAAGGATTAGACCTTGATTAATTGACCCTTGGAGTAATTTTCTTCGATGCAATCTTGAGGTAGCTTGCCCCAGAATCAGCGTTGAAGCGATTTAACTCGTGCTAGTTGAACATTAGAGGGACTTTCCCTTAATCAAAAGAACCTTTGTGTGGTCTGCCCTTGGTTGGTTGAGTCTTGAGATGATTCACTCTGATCAACCTGATTCTTGAATGATTTGCCTCATAAACAGCTGATGCTTGGGGACTTGGTTTAGACTGGCCTGATCCCATAATCATTGGATGCCAATTGTAACACTCCAATTTTCAGTAATTATTTATTTAATTAAATTAACTGATTAATTGTGTGATTTTGCGCCTATTGAATTAACTAATTTATGTAATTTATTTGAATTAATTGATTTACTTTGATATATTTGAATTAGTTGATTTATTGAATTTATATAAAATATTTGATTTATATGAATTAATTGACTTATTAGATTTATATAAATTATATAATTTATTTAAGTTGTTTGGATTAATTGATTTATTGAACATATTTGAAATAATTGATTTAAGTTGATTATTTAATTTATTTGATATATTTTATTTGGTAGGATAATTTAGAATTGCTAATTTTTAGTTGGGCTTGATTAGGCGTGTGATTGATAATGTCTAGGTTTTGATGATAATATTTAATAAGTGATAATTAATTTGTTGGAAATTGATATGTGTGAATTTTTCACCGTCCTACCATGGTATTGGCACCAAATATCCATAATACCATTCTTTTCCACCTATATCCCAAATTACCATCTTTTCAAAAAAATTGAATTTTTGTGTGAAAACGACCGCCCAACCAATGGGCGGCAATGACCATTTTTTAAAAGCATCCGCCCTTCCAATGGGCGGCTATGACCAATTCCCTTTTTTTTTTCGTTTTATTTTTTTAAATATAATTAATATATATATATATATATATATATATATATATATATATATATATATATATATATATATATATATATATATATATATATATATATATATATATATATATATATTAAAATTAATATTTATTAATATATATAATATTATTAATATATATATATTAATAATAATAATAATATTGTTAATATTATTATTGTTTAATAATATTCATATTATGCATAATGTAAAAATTAATATTATATATATATATATATATATATATATATATATATATATATATATATATTTATATATTTATATATATATATATATATATATATATATATATATATATATATATATATATATATATATATATATATATATGTATATATATATTATTAATAATATTATTAATATTATTATTATTTAATAATATTAATATTATCAATAATGTAAATATTAATATTATAAATATATATATATATATATATATATATATATATATATATATATATATATATATATATATATATATATATATATATATATATATATATATATATAATAAGATTATTAATATTATCAATAATCTAAATATTAATATTTTCAATAATGTTAATATTAATATAATCAATTAATGTATAATATTAACTTATATTTTGTAATGCATAATTTATATCATTAACTAATATTATTTAATACATTATGGTTAATAAAAACACTAACGATTACTTGTTCCCACATTGGGACACCGGGTTCGATTGTGGCCCGTTTGACGACACATTGAACATTTTCTCTTAAGCTTATCAAAGTTATCCATTTCGGTTGTAATACGTGTGCTTACTGGACGACCTTTCTTGTTCCTCCGCATTCTTGGGTTATGGCAAATTTGATCTCCTTCATAAACGGGCCAGTATTCATCGTACGACATCACTGGAAAGCTATTGTTGTAAACCCCAAACAGGTTTGTAACCCTATAAACGTCAGACAAAAGAGCGTAAGCGTCATGGCGCACGTTCGAACATGCAGCGATAACATGTGAGCAAGGGACACGAAATGCTTGAAACTTTCCGCAGTCACACCATCCGTTCAAGAGGTCGACCTTATAATGTCCCATAGGCTTCCCCTCACCATGGTCCATTGTCTCCTTCACACTGAAAACATTGTTAGCGTAGTTAAAAATTCTGACTTGATGTGTGCTGGATTTTGTTGTTTCTTCTTTCATCACCTTGAGGCAGTTGTCTGTAAATGTTTCGCCAGAATTTAACACAACACTCCACTTTGAACCCCGTTCAGCAAATAAAGATCCCAACCTATAATATGTTGCCCTTACCAATGCTGTAATGGGCAAATGACGTGTGCCTTTAAAGACAACATTCATTGACTCAACAAGGTTGGTAGTCATGTGACCCCAACGTCGACCCCCGTCAAATGCTCTTGTCCATTTTTCGACTAGAATAGTGTCAATCCACCTTAAAGCATTTGCATTTGCCATGCCAATCTCTGACCGATAGTAATGAAATGTTGGTTGGTTTAAAGCGTACCCTGAATAAATAAAATATCAATCAATACATGTTATTGACAAAATTTATTAAATATTATGAAATATATTGAATAAATATTATGCAAAATATAGTTACCCATGTTAATTATTTTTTTCCGTAGGTTCCTGTCCTTGATTTCTCTCATAAAATTTTGTGCAATGTGTCGGATACAATAAACATGCACTGATGGGGGATCATGCCAACCATTTTCCACATTGTTGTATGCACTTTCAATTGATGCATGTCGGTTTGAAATTAAACATAGACCTGGTTGTGGCGCAACATGCCTCCTTAAGTTTCTCAGAAAAAATCCCCAACCTTCAGCGGTTTCACCTTCCACAAGGGCAAAAGCAACAGGAAATATATTGTTGTTTCCATCTTGTGCCACTGCGATAAGCAGTGTACCCTTGTACTTGCCGTATAACTAGGTTCCGTCAATTTGAAGTATAGGTTTGCAATAGGCAAAATCCCTGATGCATGGTTGGAATGCCCAGAATAGCCGGTGGAAGATGTGTTTCCCTTCAACAATAGTTCCGTCAGCTGTATACATGGGTAAGGTTTCTATTTCCAGCACAGTGCCCGAAACGAATTTTTTAAGTGCTAACAGAAAATGTGGAAGTTCATTGTATGAGCTCTCCCAGTTACCGTAAACCTGTTCAATTGCTTTATTTCTTGCTATCCATGTCTTTCTGTAAGACGGAGTAAAATTGTATTCAGAAACAATTTTACTTATGCAAACACTAACCTTAATAGAAGGATCCTTGTCTACAAAAGGCATTAATGTCTGAGACATTAACTGTGAGGTTAGTTTTTGATGATCCTGATTAAACAAAGTTGTTGAGCAACTATGAGGTGGGTTCATAATGCCTATCTCCCACAAGTCACTTCTTTTACGGTAGGACGCCAATAGACGAAACTTGCAGGAATCATTCTTGCAACAAATTATAATCTCTTCTTGTCGGAATTTGTCACTTTATAATCCACACAATGTTTCATGTGGTATTGCTTAATATCAGCAACACAGTCAGCTTTATTTTTAAATTGGTTACCGACTTCTATGTCACCCTCCATTGGAATATGAGGAGTCCGTGGCCAATCAAATGATGTTGTTTCTACATTTAATGGCAGGGTTGTCATATGTGCTGGTGGGGTGAATACATTCTCAACTGGAATGTATTGTTCATCTCTGTTGACTTCGTTGACAATGTTCCCTTCCTCAAACAAAGTAGAAAATACATCATCAACCTGTGCCTCGTTTTCTTCTTCGCCGTCTTCTTCTTCGACTGCTTCGTGTGGAATTATGGACAGATTGATGACCTGAGAATTTTGAGTTTCTTCACATTGTGCAAATGTTACATATAATTCAATGTGTTGAAACCCAAAACGTTCATGATTCGAGAACATCGTTTCAACATCGTCGTCGTCACGAACCTTTAGTGGAACAAATTTAAAGTGATTGTCCCCAAAATGGACAATATTTTTGTACGTAATCTGTGACACTGATCCAGCGTTCACCTTCATCTGTAACCTTTCCTTAAAATGTTGGAATGACGATCTTTTATTTACACTGAAACGACTTACGTCAGTGTTTTCAAAGATCAAACCGACTTCATCTGATACAACAACACTCCCATTGAAATGAGCATTAACAATGTATTGGTGGCTAGAAGACATTATGTAAGACAGTATTAGAAATGAGTGGATATGTTGAAGAAATAATTGAGTGGAATGTCTGAAGCAAGATAGTTTCAAAATAAATATAGAAGATAGTAGTAGTAGAAATTGGGTGGAATAAATATAGAAGATAGTAGTAGTAGAAATTGAGTGGAATAATTATAGAAGATAGTAGTAGTAGAAATTGAGTGGAATAATTATAGAAGATAGTAGTAGTAGAAATTGAGTGAAATAATTATAGAAGATAGTAGTAGTAGAAATGTTTAAAGAAGATAGTACTTAATACGTCCACCATGCATGCAACGGATAAATCAGGTCAAAGGCATGTTAAATGCTTCCGCCCATTAATGGTGCGGTTGACAGGAAATTAATGGTTGCCGCCCATTGAGAATGAGGCATGTCAGACCAAAATAAATGCTGCCGCCCATTGAAAGTCTACCAGCTGTGCATTCAAAGCGCGTGTGTCTGAAAAGTGCAGACTACTCTGATGGTTACCGCCCATTGAGACAGCGGGTTGTCAGCACAAAAGCAACATAACCGCCCATTGATGGTGCAGCTTTAATGCGTAACCAACGTTTCCGCCCATTGAAAGGGCGGATGTCTACATTCCCTCAGCTCTGCAAACATGCATGCAGCCCACGTACAAGCATTGAAACCCTAAATTTTTTTAACCTCACTTCATTTATTTTTCTACCATCCTTATCTCATATCATTTAATTTTTTACATATATTTTTCTCCTATAAATTTCTACTACCAATCCAATAAATTTCTACTACCAATCCTTACTACCAATTTCAAAATTTTTACTACCATTAATTTCTACTACCAATCCTTACTACCAATTTCAAAATTTATACTACCATAAATTTCTATTACCAATCCTTACTACCAATTTCAAAATTTCTACTACCATAAATTTCTACTACCAATCCTATAATTCTACCAATTCTTAACTTTATCTCCTATCTTACACTATAACTCTCACTCTTGAAAATGATTCTACTCACTTTAGAAGATGACCATCGCGGTACACTTGAAAACTTTGCATCCTATGTAAGTTAATTTATATTTATTTACACAATTCACTTTAGTAAAGTTCAAATATTTTGTTTATGATGTTAGTTACATTCAAATATTTTGTTTATGATGTTAACATTCAAATGTTTTTTTTATAGGATGAAAAAAATTTCAAACCACGCTCGCATAAGTACATAGAGCCTGATGAGGTTATCAGACCATATTTGATACGAGCGGGTTTCGGTCACGTCATCAATATAACATCATATGGAATTGATCGCAAATTCCTTCTCGCGTTGTGCGAAAGATGGCGACCAGAAACCCACACTTTTCACCTCCCCACGGGGGAATGCACAGTGACACTTGAGGATGTCCATATGCTGTTGGGTCTCCGTGTTGATGGGTCAGCGGTTGTGGATGACACAAATGTTAACTATGCATTATTAGAAGAACTATTAGGGGTGCCTTTGGAACGAGGTGATAGGAAGGGGCAAAGCATTAAAATCACATGGCTAAAAAGAAATTATAATGCTTTGCACCTAACCAATGAGTCTCCCGAGGAACAAAAACTTTATAAGACTAGAATGTATTTACTACTGCTTTTTGCATGTTGTTTATTTCCTGATACTAATGGTAATACTATTCATCTTCAATATTTACCATTATTAGAAGATTTAAATGAAGTAAGTAGATATAGTTGGGGCGCTGCTACCTTAGCGCATCTATACAGAAATTTGTGTAGATGCGCAATGAAAAATGTGCATAATTTTGCTGGTTGTGGTGTTTTGATTCAAGCATGGGGATGGTCCAGAATGCCCAGACTGTCGCCCAGCAACCCCAATCCATATCACTTTCCATACGCAACCAAGTAAGTATACAAAATTGTTTATGTAAATATTCTTTTCATCTTTAATTTTTACTAACTATTTCTTTCGTAGGTGGTCTGCGTATGGGATGAATTACGAAAAAACTCCGCATCATTGTGCTCTTGGGTATCGGACGTTCTTCGATCATTTTGAGGAAGACGATGTATTGTCTCTACTCCCTTATTTTTTTACTAGCACTTTCCATTTTTTTTTCTAATCCTTTTTTAATTATGTTATAGTTTATATGGAGACCCTATCTTGAACTTGAAGATGAGGACCCAACTGAAAGCGATATGTGGAGTTCTACAACGTTCATTTTTTCTTTCACTTATGTTGAAATGCATCATTTAGATAGGGTAAAACTCCAATTCGGAATTCAACAAGACATTCCTGGTCCACCTACATGCATGGAGATGTACCACAAGAGTACGGCCAACGACCAATGGAAATTCGATAATTGGAGAGACCACAACATACAAGAACATCAGCATTGGATAAATCGCCGTCGCACTGTTCTACGAGGAAATGTCATGGATACCGAATGTAAACCCAGTAGGGAATACATGCGTTGGTATAGATCTGTGACCAATTTGTATCTATCACAAAATAGATACTTGTGGGACCCTCGGAACCAACCAACTTCATCAAACATCCAAAACCAACCAACTCCATCAAACTTCCATAACATCCCTTCCATGACATGTAACACCCAACCACCAATATTTAATACCCCACAACCAATATTTAACACTCCACAACAATTATTTAACACCCCATTCAACCCCAACCCAACACAACCACCTTATACCCCAAGCCAACACTACAATCAACCTTACACATCATTTAACCCAAACCCCTTCAACATCCAACAACAAAACCCAACCTTATCATACCCCCAATATAACCAATTCTCATTCTCTCAACCTACCCAACAAGAACACAACTACCAAACACCCCAACCACAAGTTCCTTTTTACCCTTCACAAAACTTCACCCTTTCTCAAGACCAAAATCCTTACACTCCCTACATTACTAACGCACCGCCACCTCTAAACCCACCAAGTTGGAGTAACGAGGGTACAAGAATAAGTTATGGAAGTGCAGCGGCGATACCAAATGACGACGATTTCAGTGATGATTTGGTCGCTTCCTTCATGAACCCTAACAATGATGCAGGACCATCTACACAACCCCAAAACGTTGAGGTTGATCGTAGAAGGTCCACCAGAAATGTACAAGCTCCTGCCTGTGGAACCCACCAACGCTTACATCGACCGGGTCGAAATTAATTAGGGGTGACATTTATTTTAGTTCATTTCTTGTATTTTATTTTAATGTATTTCAAGAATAAATAAAAATTTATTTTAGTTTATTTATTGTATTTTATTTTATAATAATTATTTTATATTTAAATATAGTAATTTATTTTAAATAATACTATTTTAAAAATAATTATTTTAATTTTAATTTATTTTAATTTATTATAATTATTTATTTAATGATTTTTAGTTAAATCTAATAAACATAATAAATATAAATAATAATACATTACTGATTAAAAAAAAAAAAAATAGGAGCTACACTGTGCCGCCCATTGAAAGGGCGGCTGTCCTAAAAAATGCACCTTGCCGCCCATTGGAAGGGCGGAAGTGCTTCTCCAATAACGCAAACTTGTTTAAAACCATGGTATAATGAAAATTTATATGAAACGAATGGTAGTATGGAAAATAACATGTAAGAGAATGGCATGCTGGAAAAATTTTCGATATGTGTTGGTAGATTTAATGTGAATCATTTTTCTACTTCCCCACTGCAGCACATGAATGTAATTTTTCTTTATTCTTCATTAATGCTGTAGCGTATCAATGCTGGCACTGAAAATGAATATAGCTCTATCATTTTGTCTTCCAATAATATATTAATAAATCATTTCTATGTTGCTGTAGCTTTTTCTCACTTATCTCATTAATATATTATAGGCAATGAAAGGTAATATATGCCTATCATTTTCCCTGTAGCGCAACAATAATAATTTTTAGTAACCCTTTTAAATTACCAGACCTTTTTGTCTATCATTTTCTCACATGATAATGTAGCATATTAATATAAGTAAATAAATATGTACCTTCCTCCTTTGTAGTGAACCAAAAGAAGTGATGTATAAATATATATTATGATCTGTAGCATAGCGCAAGAAGAATAGTGTGATTGTTTCTATATATCCATGTCATGTAGCTTATACACTCTAATTTAAATTGAAAATATGTGATACTTCCTAGCAAATTGAAAAGTGATCATGTCTTA